CCCCAAAACCCCAAAACCCCAAAACCCCAAAACCCCATAGGAGATAAACCCATTGAACAATAATATATCTTTTAAAGAATTTATGAATCTAAAGTAACTGAGATTAAGACATGCGCATAAATTTCATTGGTCAACATTCCAGTTAATCGAGAGCTTGGTAGATTGTGATTCTTCCAAACTCGTACTTATTGAGCACCTCTTCGACATAAGTCTTCTTCATATTGTTTTTCCCAACATGAATCTCTCTTAGGTTGTTTCTAAAGTCTGATTCTTTTGATAAACCCTCAAGTAGGTTTTCAAAGTGCTCTTTATTTGGTTCAGACTTATCCAAAGGGTTTTGGAAACATCCGTCTAATACAATCACGGTCACACCGCTTCCTTCGAGAGCTCCATCGAAGTTAGGAACAGTTGACAGATCTAGTTTACATTCAAGAAATCCTGTGCCTCTCTTATTCTTTGATATTGTCAATAGTTTGATCATGGTAGACTGGTCCAACTAAATTTATTAAGATGATGTGAAGCTTTAAGTCAAAATTTTCCAATAAAAGGACACAAACCCGAGCATTTAAGTTATCCCTGATATATAATTTGAAACTAAACAAGCTAGGAGAGTCTTCACTTGAAAATTATCTCTTTTTAGGATGTATCAAACTTACCTCAAGGTGGTGGTAATACAAGAACAAGCGAACTGTGAGACTCGCCTTCTCTATGGAATCTATATAGTTGGTGATAGATCTGTTCATCTCGGAGGAAAGATTAACATCTAGTCTTCTAATTTTCTCTGGAAGACTTTCTGACAACAAGCGGCACACATCTTTGTTTTCCTCAGGAAGCTCACAGAGTCTCAGAGTGTCCATATTAGGCAATTTTCTGTTAAGATTTTCTAAGAATTCGCAGTGCTTTTCATCAGAGAGCTCGATTTTAACAAGATCTTTAGGATCAAACCTCTTATTTTCGCCAACTTTAATTTTCTGGTACATAGCATCAAAGTATTCGTCAGTCGTTGGGTCTTCACGTGGGTCTAAAGGTATTGGGATAGATCCGCCTTCTTGCAAAATTTTAGTTAATTCCTATATTGCAGGTTATCAAAAATTCATGAAAACAAGAAATTTTTCCAAATTTGGCGAAACCAAATAAGAAAAGTCAAAAATCGCTTATACATTAGAAACGAGATTAACTAATTTGCTATGAGCACGAATTTTATATTAAGACTTAAATCAGCAACTTGGGTGAAGAAATTATAGGCCATTCGATGTGTTCTAGTCTAACAATTGCATCCTTTTACATATTGATAGTTCATTGCTGTTCTTTTCAGACGTACCTCGTTTTCAAGCATAATTTGCTTATTTTCTTCACTGAGTTTTGAAATTTTACCATCTTGTTCTTCCACTATTGTTTGAAGCTTATTGTTTTCTTTCTCCAAAGTTTCAACTCTTGTCTCATACTCTTTGAAAGTATCTTCAGCTTGCTCCCTTCTGAATCTTTCTTCTTCAACAGCTATCTTCAGCTCTTCTATTTCTTCCTCAGCTATAAGCACTAAGTTAGCCCTATCATGGCCTTGTGGCAATCCTTAGCAATTTGGAATGGATCATACCTCTTTTCTTAATATCTTGTATTTCTTGCAAATGCTTGCTCTCGATCTCTATAAATGCTGTTTGTGCTCATCATCGATGGGGCTATATATCAGTCACACCAGTTCGGCTTGCTTCCCAAAGACTTAGCTGGAACCAAAGAGTCCAGTCCAAGAAAGAATCGGGAATTTAAAGTTAATGATTATTTAGAAGGATTTTTAAATGAAAATTCTCAGAATTGGATACTTGGCAAGCGAAAAACAAAGTTTAAAGACACTAATAGATGGCTAAAGGAATGGACTTGCAGAAAATGGAGTTTTTAAGCTTACTTCAGGCTTTTGCTCTCTTCATAAGGCAACATTTCTGTAAAATCAGTATTTTGAGTCTGAGTCAAATCTTTTTCTCCAGCTTCGATGATGTCCATGTAGAGTGGATCATCTGTCAGCTTCTTTTCAATGCTATGAGTTTGTTGGAGTAGCAAACCAAATCTGAAAGGTTCTCTATCTTCAATAGCTTTGGTCATCGTTTCAAGGATGTTCTCAAGCTCAGTTTTTACAGTTTCGCTGAGGCTAGCATGATCTTCAGAGACTTTTTGGGTGTGAACTTTATGTACTATGTCAATGAAATTCTTTCTCAATGCTTCTATTTCTTCTATCTTAGTCTTGAGTGTGTAAGGGGACACCAAATGTTCTGCTTCATAGCTATACATCCATTAAAACTAGATTGAACCGAAAGAGATCATGCAATTTAGAATTAAACAATTGCTAGTCTTACCGTGAATATTTGGTTGCTTTGTGATAAGAACAAGCATATATTTTCTTCTTCTTAATATAGGACACTGCTTTCTCAGTGCATTTATTGCTTTGGCACTGTATATACTCCATATTTTATTAATTCCAGATTTTATACCCTCAATCTTTTAAATATTTCAGGGGTTTTGGGGTTTTGGGGTTTTGGGGTTTTGGGG